AACACCAGACACTGAGCAACATGTGTCGATGTGGTAAACAACGACATTAATGACTCTAAAAGAGGGTTTTTTTTTTTCAATCAGCAGAAGCCCTTGCATGCCTGACTACCAACCCAATGAGGGGTCACAACAAAATGGCTGACGTGCATCCTCAAGGATAAGCAGCTTCAATAAACATCTGGGAGGCAAAATCAAAATGCAGAGAATCTAATTTCACCTGCTTTTGTAGATCACATCCTTTAGGTGTGTTTGAGATTATTGAACTGACTCCACCTGCAGTTTTTAAGATTTTTTTTGTAGTATGTGTGTAGTGAGTGTTTTTGATGCATTAGAAAATGATTTCAGTCAAACATGGGGGGAGAGGGGGGTCACTGGACATTTAAAACCCCATCTTTCTCATAACAGCCGTGATATAAGATTATTAGAAAAGAAATTATTAGAGAAATGTAACTTTATTTGTCTTTGTTTTCATGTGTCCTGAAGAAAAAGTTCTGATTTGTAACACATTAGAAAATCTACTGGTTTTTACTTTTGTAAAAAAAAAAAAAAAAAAAAAAAAGAAAGTCAAATCTCCGCAATCTGGCAGATGTGAAGCATTTAATGTTTAAATTCAGTAGGTAAAGAACCAGCCTGTCAATGTCGTCTCTTTAGACATGATCTCACTCAACAGACTTTAAAGCTCATCTCAAACGTCACCAGTGGCAGCTTCAGTTGAAGGTTTTGTGACTTGGATAATACCTGGATAAACATTAAGGGGAGACACTGATATTTGAATTTTTTTGGCTTTATACTAATTACATTTAAGGGCAGAAAATAAAGGTGGTCAGTAGAAACGTTGGTATCAGCCTTTAAAAACACTGATGAACCAGGAGTTTCAAAAGCTCCTATTGGAAGAATTTAACTTTTCTTGTCTTTATATCCCATCATGCTTCATGATGGCAAACTTAAGATTTGACTTTAGTCCAGAAATTATATCTAAAGGTATATATTTTAGAAAATCTTTTTTTTTACTCTTACTAAAATCCCCACAGTCAAAGACACTAGGTGAGGAATTACTCGGAAGTTATTTGGATATTTGCAGAATATTTTATGAATTTTCTTTTAATTTTTAAATTTGTATTGATATCCAAATGGAATGCTATGTAGGTGTTCTTTCCTTGTTCTTCATTATTATTATTATCATTATTATTATTAATAATAATAATATTATTATTGTTATTGTTGTTGTTGTTGTAATTTTTATCATTATTATTAGCATCATATCACTATAGACAAAATAACTGTTGGAGTTACTCCACCTGTTTCCAGACGTGCGTGTGAGTGTGTGTGTGTGTGAGAGTGTGTGTGTGTGTGTGTGAGTGTGTGTGTGTACCTGACTGCTGTCCAAGCTGCAAGTTAAAGTAACTAGTGTCTTAGGAGAGTAAGTAACTTTCCTTGTGGTGCGTCCCAATTAGTTGCACACGAATCATAACTTAACCTCCAGTGTGTTTTTATAAAGTTTGGTTACACTTTGATTTAGTGTGTGTGTGTTCACGTGTGTGTGACTCATATCCACAGTGCAAAGGAAAGCAGAATCGTCTTAAACTTGTGCTGTTCATCATCAGCATGACAAGTGTTTGGACTGTGGTAGGAGTCGACACGGCTCTGAACATCATCTGCTCACTAAAGAAACATCAAAGTGCCAGAAACAGAATGTAAAGTCTCTTCTTTTTTTGAATCCCTTCCTTAAATGAATAGATATATCATAAAATTATGATCATAAATATGATAAAACATTGTGAATTTAACTGCCTATAGTTTGCTTTTCCAGTGAACTTGCAGTAATTGTAATCCTAGTAAAATGCACACACACACACACACACACACACACACACACACACACACACACACACACACACACACACACTGTCAAGAACCTAAAACTTTACATCTCGTGTTGACAGTCATCGTCAGCTCAGCGTGGTGAAAATTATTTCAGAACTTTCTTTAGATTTCACTCCCTGACATGTGTCGTGTTTGTGCATCTGTTTTTTTTGGACATCACACACACACACACACACACACACACACACACACACACATTTTGTGTGAGTCAGTAATAAATTAAACATCGTTATTGTCGTGTGAACTTCACCAGCTGTTGTGCTTCTCATGTATTAATTCCAGTTGCTGGTTTAAAAACAGAGAAACGTCTGTGACCTTTTTCACTTATGAAACTGTTTCAGAACAGGCTGCACAATCCCAAAACACTGTCGGACTTTTTGGGGTTTTTTTCCTTGAAAGAAGCCGTTCTGTAGTTACTGATGTTATTATATTTGCAGCAAAACAACCTGATGAAACAGATCCTGTTACTGTCACATGTCTGAATGCTGTTCATATGTTTCCTCTTTTCCTTCCTCACTCCAACTCTCATCTGCTGAAAGAGTGAGCAAAATAAACGAGGAGCCAAATCAACATGTGTGTGTCCGAATCCAGGCTTTGGTCTCGGTGCACACACCATTCTTAACAACAGCTGTGTATCTGAAGTTTCTTTTACTTTTGTCTTTCATTTGTTTAAACTATCTTGACTCTTTTTCTGCTTCCTGCTCAGCCAGTTTTCATGAACTACGTCAGACAGAAAGATATAAATGGAGTAAACTGTAGGAATCTGTTTAGATGCATGTAGCTTAACTGTCTGTATAATTGTGCTTTCTTTTAAAAAGGTACATTTTTGAACTTTCTAGAGCTGTGTAACTGTAAAACTGTGACTTCCTTGTTGTTCTACAGAAAATCTAAACACGATCTAAGACTGACTGAAATTTGTGTTTTATATTTTTAACTGAAACTAGTGATTCATCAGCTTTTAAATTGATTATTTTATACATAATCTATTTCAGCATAATGAAATGAATGTTTAAGAAGACAGATCTGTCCAAAACATGGTGAGAACTAGAAAAATGTTTTGCATCAGTTTCCTGATCTGAAGATGTTCAGTGTTGTCACCTTCACACAGGCAGCAGCAGTCGACATGACTGATGTGTGTTATCAGGTTTAGTCTGACAGGTAAACAGCAGGTAAACAGGAAAACAACTGAGTCAAGACAAAACATAAATTAGCAGAAGAAACTTTTTATGTTCTTCTGCGTCTATTAAGTTAAACTTGGGACTATTTATTTCTATCTTGCTCTGCACTGTAATTCTTATACTGTTTGATCCGTCTTATTCTATTTTAACTTTTTTTCATTGATGTGTGTCTTTTAATATAACCTTTAGTTTCTTTTATGACTTTGCTTAATGTCTTTCTGTCCTGTTGTTGGAAAGTGTCAAACATGACACTAGAAGTAAGATTGTGAATTGTTTTAAAATGACTATAACTTGTGTCTTATCAGATATATTAGAAAAAAAGATTTTTTTTACACCAAAATGCTGCATGAATTCATTTTGAAATTAAAAATTTTGCCTCACTTGAGTCAGGATGAACCTGTATGAGCTGCAAAATAGTAGAAAATCCACAGTTGTGTTTCAGTTGCACAGATGTTTATTCTAAAAGATAAAACTGTTTTCAGTATTCAGGTTGTGATATTCTGTATATCCCATAACCTCAGCTTTAAAACACATTAAATCCATTAACATGGCTGAATCCCACCAGGGCTGCCTGAGCAACCATCAAGTCTTAAACTCATCATGTGTCTCTCTGTTGAAAAAATTTGATTCGTTCTTGATAAATGAAGCAATGAATCCTTAAAATATTTGATATTTATTGAAATTTAAAAATTTGGGAGGTTATCTGTCAGTTTTTAAAGCTGCAAAGTTTGACATCCTCTCTGCAGGCAGCATGTCATTTCCAGGTGGGACAAAACCTTTAATTGCATTATTTCCTGTACACTAACTGATAAAAGATAGTGTGATAAAATAGGGTTTTCTTGAATGCTAACTGCCCAAACACTGTCAGTATTACCTATGGTGTGGTAATGAACGGAGGTTGTTTGGTGTTGGGCAAATGTAAAAAACCATGACGATAGAAGTTTTGTTTAATATTAATTTCTTTAAATTGGCTTAATAAGTAAGTTTGTATATGCTACATTAGCAGCCGACTACGAGGATCACACCTTTTGATATATGGTGCACATGAACAGAAAAGAAGTCCCTCAGTCATCAACTCTGTTTGGTTTTCTTTTTTTTTTAACTAATAAGTGCTTTAAAGTTTAAAAAAAGAAAATAGTACAGGTTAGGTCCTTTACTGTGATGCTACTATGACTGAGGAACCTGTACTTTTCAAAGCCTGTGATAATTAGAGGGGTTAATGAAATGTATGTTGTGTGAGCTGCTGAAAATATGAGTCATATGTGTTTATGTGAATCAGCTGATCAGTGATATCATGTTGTGTGAGTTTTAGAGGTGCACGGTAAATATAATAAGGCAAAAGCCAATACATTTTTCAAGCACTGATGGACTTCTGTCTTTTTGTAGTTAGATTATTTTGTGTTTTATTTCTCATTAGAGTAACATTTTATAATGATAATAATAATAATATATGGGTTTTTTTAACACACTATAATTTAAAGTGGTTTAAAGTGTTTATCTTAATGTATTTGCCAACAACTGCAACAGCTGCTGTGGACACCCAGAAGTGAAGGCTGGTGTCTACACATATAATGAATGACAAGCATATGCACATGTATACAATTAAATTATAGTGTGTTATAAACCATTTATTAACTGTCTAGATAGTGCTTATAAAAGGTAAATATAGTGTTAGTTATGTGTGTGCTTGTATATTTGGGTGTATTCACATATTTGTGATTTTACATTTGCTGCATTTGGTTTTAAATGATCATTTAAATTTTAGAGGGAAAGAGATGTCATGCTTTTCAGTGTCTATCAAATTACACACACACACACACACACACACGCACACACACACACACACACACACACACACACACACACACACAGTCATACATGGCAATGATTTATCACACGTTAGATCTTTGTATTTTATTCTGAAGTGACAGTTTTTGATGGTTTGTGAAAGTTGTGCAGCTGAAGAAGAGAATCAGGGTGCTCTGAGGGAAGTTTAAATCTCATCAACAAAAAACTGCAGACTTTATTCAGATCTAAAACATCTTTTATCCAAATTGGAAAATCATACATCTGAAAAAGTCTTCTGAAAGTCTCACAGATGCTATTCACTGGTGTTTCAGTGTAATTATCCATCTACACATTTATGTATTGTCTTTATGTGTGTTTCACTTAAAACACATGTCATGCTGCTTCTAAATGTTGCACCAAATCTGAATTACTTCTTCCTGTGGATCGTAAAAATATGTTTTTTAAAATGCAGCATTCTATTCAAATGAGTCTGACATGAATACACTTAAAGTTAAATATGAAAATGAAAGTGGCCTTTGGAAAATTTAAATCTCATTAACAAAAACTTGTGGATTCAGATCCAGATGTTTTCTTACAGTTTGTAAAAAAGAAAGCTGGACAAGTTTTCTGAAAGTTGTACAGATGCTTTTCGCTGGTTTTTCAGTGTGATGATTCATCTACACTGCGTACACTGCGTACACTGCGTCGTACTGTGTGTGTATGTTTCACTGTGATTCAGCTTCTGAAATGTCCATCACATCTGAATCAGTCGTCCCTGTGGATCATAAAAATAATGTTATGTTGCAGAGAATGCTGCATTTTAGAAGAACTCCATGTTAATTCATTTAAAAATTAAAGAGAAGAATCAAGGTGCACTAAGGAAAATTCAAATCTCATCCAAAAAACTGCAGAGCTTATTCACATCCAGAAGGGTTTTTTTACAATTAGAAAAAAGAGAAAAAGAACCAGTGAAAAAAAATTGTGAGGAAAATGTTGTTTATTTGAGATAATGATAAATGAAACATGGTGATAACTTCTCGTCTCTGTTATTTGGAAATTCAAGTCAAATAAATGTGACGAATGAGCAATGATGACATTTTGTGTTGTTTATAAATTTCACAGGTTTAATTTTGATGTTCAGACTAATTTTGATGTTCAGACACTGCGTGTGTGAGTGTGTGTGTGTGTGTGTGTGTGTGTGTGTGTGTGTGTGTGTGTGTGGTGTGTGTGTGTGTGTGTTCATGCACAGTATATAAACATTATTTACATTTAAATTTGTAAGTTGAGTGTAAAAAGACAAATCAACGGTGAGAATGTGTTTGGAAAAAGTTGAACAGGATTGTGTAAGATTGTGATTTGTTTGTTTTTTTCAAAACCATCACAGTGAGGACATTTTGGCTGTTTGAGGGGTGAGACTTTAGGTTGCAGGGTTCAGATCAGACCCAGGTTTAGGGTAGGGTTCGGATGGTGATGGTTATGGTTTCGGGTAAGGGACTAGGGAATGCATTATGTCAATGAATGTCCTTACAACTTTAGTAAGAACAATGTGTGCGTGCGTGCGCGCGCGCATGCATGCGTGTGTGTGTGTGAGACAGACTCAAGAGAGATCAAGGAAAAAGAGAAAGTGTGAGAGTGAGTCAGAAAGTGTCAGCATGAGTGCGTCAGCATACGAGTGAGAACTTACTTGTGAAATTGTGTAATCCTGACATATGCAAGTGTGTGTGTGTGTGTGTGTGTGTGTGATGGTGCGTTTTTCTCTGCATGAATTATGTTCCTATATGTGTGTATGTTAGTCCATTAAGTATAAAGACAAAAGTAAAGTGAGGAGCAGAGTTTGAAATCACTGTCACTTCAACTTGTTCATGAAAAATTCTTCTTCTTGAAAATTTAAAAGAAAAAAAAAGGAGAAAACAGATAGAAGAGTCACCTTAATTTAAACCATTTAAGGTAAAACACATAAATGGTTTCACTTTATAGTTTGAATTAACTGAATTAAAAGTCAAGTGAAGCAAGTTAATAGGTTGTTTTGTCTCATGGACAGGTTGAGGTCGTTGAACTTAAAGCAACAACCACAAAACAGGAGAAACAGTTATTAGTCCTGCACTGCACTTGTGTGTGTGTGTGTGTGCTTGTGTGTGTTAATGTGCTTGTGTGTGTTAATGTGCATGTGTGTGTTAATGTGCATGCATGTACACGTGTGAGTCTGTCTGTTGATGTTTTGGCCAACGACGTCAAAGAAATACCCCAGGAAATACACTTAACCGTTTGTATGTGCGCACAGGGTTACAAGAAGAAAGAGCAGGATGTGAAATATTGTCTTTTTATATTTGTGTATGCGTGTGTGTGTGTGTGTGTGTGTGCGCCCGTGTGTGTGTGTGTGTGTGTGTGTGTGCGCGCGTGTGTGTGTGTGTGTGTGTGTGTGTGCGCGCGTGTGTGTGTGTGTGTGTGTGTGTGTGCGTGTGTGTGTGTGTGTGTGTGTGTGTGTTAAATGTGCTGTATGCTGTGATGCTTCATTCACCTACGTCTATGGAGCCAAAGAAGCAGACCTCACAGCAGTGATGATGTGCATGTGTACATGGACTGCTGTGTGTGTTTTTCTCTGAGCAAGTGTGTGTCTATTTATCTGCGCTTGTATGTGTACGTGTGTGTATGTGTATGTTTTCCCCACATCAAGGGCCACAGAGTTACCCCTTACCAAACCTTCACCTCCCTCCTTCCTACTTTCCTGAATAATTTTCCACCACCACCTATGGGACGAGCCGGCTTTCTTTTGACTCATACGCAAAAAAAAATGCGTGAGTGTGTGTGTGTGTGTGCATGTGTGTGTTGGTTAGGGGAGGTTAAGTGACAGGTACAAGGGTCAGATTCAAAGCATATATACGTCCGGGGTAAAAGTGTGGAGAGATGCTGCCATAACCAGGAGGGTGGAGTCTGCTACAGGACATCCTGACAGAGGAGAGGAACCTCCAAAGTGATGGCATTTTGCCCTCTGGTAGCACACACACACACACACACACACACACACACACGCACACACACTGTGCCACACTTCCATCCAAAAATGTGCTCCCACCACACCACTTGATACTTTGGTGCAGAGCTCGGCAAAATAACAGGTACATTGGTTTTCATGCTCGGCTGTAAAACACTGAGTTTTGTCTGAAAAAATAACAAGGGAGCAAATATTACATTTTGACCCTAATAATTTGAAGAGAAAAAACAGACAAATCTGATTTATTTGTCTGTAATGTTTTATTTTAAAGGTTTTTAAGGTTTCTTAATAACTTGGTGCTAATTACATGAAAAACAGAAACAAAGCGCTTTTAGCATAGTTAGTTGTATTGAGTTCATTATTGACTTCCAGATGAATTTCCAGTAACCTCAATGGATATATATCAGTCATTCACTTAATATTGGAAACTTGTTTGTTTGTAGACCCATTTCACATGTTGCATGTTCAGCTCACCTACTGTCCAGTGAATAAAAATATCAAGGTTGTGCTTAGCTTAGCATTTTATCTGGAAGTGTACAAACTGATCACTTTCTGTTTTATTTCATTACAGAATTGTGATTAGAACCAAATTATATGGCTCTTTGCAGGAAACTTCTGAGGAGATTAGACCTGTAAACTAAAGCATTACCTATTGTCTGCTGTTAACTCTCAGTCAACTTCAGAGTGATAGCAGGTTCAAATCTAATGATGTGGGTTTTGAAGGTGTGGATGGTAACTTTAAATCCAGGGAAGCAAACACTCACCAAGACATTCTGCCACATTGAGTATATGATGATATCTCTTCCATTCTCTTCATACAAAAAACATTTAATTTATATTCTGGTAAACTTATTCACTTATGGTGCACACACAAACACACCTAAGGTAACTTAGAATATTTCATAAATTCATAAAAATAAATAAGAGACCATTAAAATACAAAAAATTTAAATGAACATGTGAGATGTGTGTAAACAGATAGATATGGTTGCAAATCCCAGGTCTCAACAGATAATGAAATAATCAACTTATTATAAACTTAAACTAGGCTGAGTTGGCTTTGCTTACTGAATGAAACTCTTTGTGTGTATTCATTATTAAAACAAAGGTTTAAGCCACGTATTCTGCATCACAAAACCAGAAGGCAAGTCTCATCAAGTCAAGAGGACAGCAGCTAAACCATTACATAAGATCACTGAACTATCCATAGAGCACTGACAACATGTAAGAAACAACTTCCATGATGTCATGAAACAACATACAAAATTAAACCAGACAGTGGAAAATATGAATCTGCTCTGTTTTCACTTAGATGAATGACAGTAACTGTAGACTTCATTTGTTCTTTTCAACTCATACATGAAACCATAACCACTGAAATAAATAGAACTACTAATTGGTATCAAATGATATCAGGAAGAGGAGTCTCAGTAAAAACAAAAAGTGTGCAAAAGAAAACGTGGCATTTATGACAAAAAATTCAAACTTTTCCTAAAGTAAAGTACCTAAAGTGTTAGAAAGTTAAAAAAAAAAAAAAACATGTAAAAAGTGAATGGTTGCTTTGTTGTTATGGTAACTAAAACAATGCGTGAGACTGACAAATTTAAAACACTCAACATTTGTGGTTTTAGTGAGATAGCTCATGTGGAAAAATGAAAAGCACTGGTTCTTAAAACAAGTTTGAGACAGGCAGCTGAACCTGGGACATATTAATGTGTTTCATACATTTCTTGGGAGGCTTTGGATGGGACAGGCACTGTCTCCTGTACTCAGAATATCTGGTCACTAAATTATATTTAACATCTTACAGTAGTTGTTTATCTACTGACAGATTTAACTTAAGGGGCTGTTCACAAGTCAAGGTTAGTGGGTAGGGGTGATTGTTGCTTGACAAAAGCTTCAGCCATCGTTGCGTTTACAAGACAAGAGGTTATAATTCGTCCTCTGAGCAGCGCTACCTCTTCAGGGCAGACTGGAGGCTACAGTGAGTCGCTATCGGAAAGTGACAAGGCTAGCTAGTTAACATGCTAACTTCAGTAGAAGAAAAGACGTGATAGAGACAAGAGTTAACATTGACGTTGCTTTCCACCGCTGGAAACAGCTGTTGGTGAGTAAAGGAATGAAGTTTGATGCTGAACTCGCAATGTTTCTTCTAGACTGGTAAGTAAACAGTTGTTAATGCTAACGCTAGCTATGTAGCAATAGCAAAAGTTACAAATAGCTTCTGTAACTCAAAGTAGGCAAACAATACAGGGTTTTCAGCCATGTCAGGAGTCATCAGGTCATCATCTCAACAAAGCCTGAGGATCTGATTGTTTTCTTAATTTCCTAATTTGCTTTCTCAACAGTCAACTGTCTGCTGAATATGAAGCCAACGGCCAGTTATACAAGCTTAGCACAAAGACTGAAAACCGGGGGAAACAGCAACTGTAGCCTGGCTTCATCTAAAGGTAACAAAGTCAGCCTACCAGCCCCTCTAAAGCTAAATAATTAACACATTATATCTTGTTTGTTTAATCCATACAAAAACTGAGGTGTAAAAATAGCAAGCAGGGAAATATTCTGGCACATACCCCACACAAAATAGCAAATTGTCATTTTTACACTAAATTTTAGTAAAGATTAAAGAAATGAGATACAGCATCATCATTAGGGATCTTTAGACACACCGGTAGGAAGATTTTGTCACTTTTTGGCTGATTCAGGCTAACTGTTTCTCTCTACTTCCAGCCTTTGTGCTAAGCTAAGCTAACTGGCTGCTGGCTGTGGCCTTATGTTTTAGAGTGGTATCAATCTTCTCAGCTTACTCTCTGCCATATTTCACTCAAAATGTAAAACTGGCGCACATACAATAATTTGTTACTCGCTCTATGAGCCTCTACAGGTCGGGTTATGCTTGAACAGAACTAGTTCATACTGTATGACCATAGTTATATAGTTTGGTGCCTTTCTTCTGGCTTTATCTCCACAGCAACTACTAGTGAGGCTCATGGGTACTGTAGTATTACTTTTGAGCATGCTGGTGTGAGAAGAAATGGTTCTAACTGATGTATGGGAGTCTCATTCTGATGAGTAACACTAAAGTTATCCTAAACTTTCAAAATAAAATTTTACAGTGGAGAACACTTTCCACAACCAGCGTCTCCACCCACTTTGCTCCTTTACAGATGATTCAATTAGGGCTGCAAGGAACAATTACTTTCATCATCAGTAAATCTGCTGATTGCATTCTTAATTAATCTTCCTCATTTGGACTATAAAATTTCAGAAAATAATGAAAAGGCTGTTGTAATTTCCCACAGTCAACCTCAAAAACCTGGTCTTGTCCGGCAACCAAAACCTAAACATATCCACTTTACTATCAAATATCACAAAGCTAGAACCAGCGAATGTTTGGCATTTTCATTTGACAAATGACAATTAACAGATTATGAAAACAACTAATTCAGCTCTGGAATGAAAATGGGAAGGTCCAATCAGCAAGAATAAAAACCTTTGATTGTCTGTCATACGTGCAGCACCAGTGTCGTACCTGCAGCTGTGGTCCACAGACCAAGTCTTGTTGTCACTTCAGGGCCATTGAATTGCACTCACCAGGTCCTCTGTGAAAGAGCACAGAAAATAAAATCAAAATGTAAAAATCATTTTGTAATTTATGTGAGACTGAGATATTAACTTATCTCAATATATCATCAACTTTTATCAACTCCACAGTAAAATGCATAGAATGATCCCACTCTCTAAGTTCATGCTTTAATTCTTTTTTTTCATTTTGACTTCAAAACTGCTCCATACTCACTAAAGCCAGACAAAAAGCTCAAAAGAGTAAGAACTGAACATGGAGTTAGAGGTGATGAAATATTTTACATTTCTATTTATTTTAGTTGTTGACAACATGGTGGAACAAAATGTGTTTTTTTGGGTTAGAACAAACTTTTTTTGGGTTGTTTACACACAGAGGAGTGTGAAGGACATTGTCTCACTGTGGTCTTAACACCAGGTTCTTGTAGTGTGTGGATGTAGACTACATTGAGCTAAGTGGGTTCAACTCTGTGTTGTGACTGGTTAAATATCTTGTGAATTGTGTGTTGGTCGCCAAACCAACATGAGCTGAGACTGGCTCTTTCAGCCAAGCTCAAATCACAATGAGACTGCAACTAACAATTAATTTAACTAATTATTTCCTCAATTAATCATTCAGTCTATGACATAATAGTGAAAAATGCTCATTGTAATTTCCAAGGTGAATATTTTCAAATGTCTTGTTTTCTCCAACCAACAGCCCCAAACCCAAAAACCTTCAGTTTACTATGGCCAAGAAAAGCATCAAATCCTCACATGTGAGAAGCTTGAACCAACAAATGTTTCCTGTTTATGCTTAAATAATTATTTGAATAGATGCTGATTAATTTTCATCTAATTGATTAACTGTCTAATCTAAATCACATGTGCACCAGTAAAATATGTGATTAATGTGTCTGAACCAACTCACTATCCTAACAAATACAATTTTCTATTTATTTGTAATAATTTCTTAATTTACTGGAGGTCATCAGAAGCCATTCCTCTTCATCCAGATCCTCACTCATCACTAGGACCACACCAGTGTCTAGACCCTGCATGGCGGGGGGGGGGGTCCTACACGACGCACAGCATCTTCTCCCTCTTTCCTTATGATGACATCACAACGGGGTCTAACTGCCAAAGACTCTTCACTTTTCATTCTTCCCTGAATTTGCCTGTCCATTTAAGATCTAAATATCTAAAAGATGCCTCTGAAAACACAGCTGGAAGGGAACGGACAGGAAACACCCACTAACAACACAACAACCAGTCACATAGTTCCAGTACAACTGTTTTGCCATAAACACTTGACTCTTTTAATGCCTACAATGTTCGTTTTTTTTCGACACGGTCAAAGCGGTGTTGATTAAATCAAATGCTTTACACTGCTGAGGTTGTAGTTAGTGCAGGTGTTGTACTGGACTTTCCTCTCATGTATGGAAATTCACAAAAGGACAAAGAATTAGAAACACTTCTCACTTAATGTAGTCCGGTACAAGACTAACTATGACCTCAATAATTACGTATTTGAGCTGAACACAATAAACTTTGTAAGGACAGACATTCTGGCAGAGCTGTTGAATCGGACTATAATACACAGTGCAGATGGACCCAGTGAAGGGCAGTGTGGGTCTCACGTTTTCAAACCTGTGGCTGCTGGACTCTGAATTTCATCAGTTAAGTTTATCAGATATCATTTTTTCATTCTCCTTCAAATGAACAAAGTTTAACACTCAACTGCCACATCAGCCCTATGAATGAACAGAAAACTTCTATTTGACTCTTGTTAAATTTGAAAAGACCACATTTGGTGACACTCTGAAATTTAATTTGTGATGAATCATTCTTTTTCTTCAGGTACACGTGTACGAAGAACAAAGAAATGTAATTTTGGGAACGTGTCTTTAGATGAAACGCATGCTATGCAGCCAGTTCTCTGACAATGAAGTCCAATCTACAGATTTTTACACTTTTTAAACATTTCTTCTCCTGTTCTTATGTCTCTTTTGATGCTTTTAACATCTTTGTGACACATTTCAGGTGACAATAAATGTGATTATAGAAGTGTCAAAGCAGATGTTTTATTATGTTAATTTAACAAAAAGTGGAGGCTAAAGAGTGTGGTTGTGTCACATTTAGTCCTCCATGTCACATGCATGCATCTGAGAGAGAGCTTCTGCCGGGGGAAGTGTGGATGTACCTTAATCCTACAGCACGAGAGGGGGGAGCATGAGGAGGAGGAGGAGGAGGAAGAGGAGGAGAAAAACAGACTGGAGAGAAGAAGGAGAAGGGGGTGAAGGAGGGAGAAGAAAGCAAAAAGTGGAGAGAAGGAAGAGGAGAAACTGAAGGAAGAGGAGGTAAAAAACTGAGGAGGAGGAAGAGGAGACGTCATCAGCCGGGTTTCAGTCAGTCAGGATTTCCCCTCTGTCAATCCTCACCTCGGGCCCCTGAGAGAGACAGAGTGAATGAGAGAGGAGGATAAAGAGGGAGAGAGAGGGAGAGACAGAGTCAGAAAAGAATCACAAGTGAGACAGAGAAAACAGACAGAGGGAGAGACGAGGGATGAAGATGAAAATGCAGAAAAACTGAGGGAAAAAAAAACAAAAAGGAAATAAGAAACCAGCAAGAAAAATGGATCAGATGAGAGTTGCAGTCAGTATCAGTGCAATATGAAATAATGTCTCTTTTCTAACTTTAAGTCATAAGAATTTCATGAAATCAACCACTATTTTTGATAATATGTATGGTTGGCATCCAATGTATTTGGATTGTGTAAATGTCTCTGTAAAGTAGTTTTTATCTCACTGATGACCACATTAGAGGTGTACTTTATTTTTGTCTTTGCTTTTACTTTGTTACACAAGACCGTGTTTTAATCGTGAGGCAGCCACAGGAAACAGAGTATTTGTTACAGTTAGTGTTAACCACGACTATTCATCAAAAATGTGTGAACAAAACAAAACAACATTTTGCAAGGAAGAAATAAAGCAACATAAACTGGTTTGGCTGATGTCAACTGATTCACCAGCTTCTCTTATTTCTGACAAAGTAGCTGATTGTTTGCTGTTGTATAGAACTGGACTTGCTGTTACCACGGTAACCACGGGTGTCGCCAAATCGACAAAAATCGTAAGGATTATGACTTAAACCAGTTCCCCAATTATCCATGAATTCCGAAATCTTTACAAAAGTCTTATTCTAAATTTCCAGACGGTTTTTCATTTGATAATCTCAACACTGTATGCTTCATGTTTCCCATTTGCTAAAAGGAAGGAAGTGGCTTGTTTGCACGACTGTTACTTTTTCTGAATTTGCCATCTGGATAAATTGGCAGACTTGAGATCAGCTCTCTGAGCTCTTGCTTTTGCAAGTGTGCAGGTGAAGTTGGAATTAAAGGGTCAGTTCACCCATATTTTAAGAGAAAATGTTTTCTCACATATCTCATATGTTTTATTTTATTTGTCCAGGTTTTCCAATGTCAGAGTTCTGATTTCTGCCTCATTGCTCCCCAACACAATGAGGTGAGGTGAGATGAATGGAATTTTTTTTTGTGGTTAAAGCAAAGAAAATTAAACAAAAAAAATACTGTGATTCTATAAAGACATTCTGCTGTTTGATATTTAAATGTCATTTTTCCAAAAACAAACATCTCCGTTTACCTCCACTGCTTTGGGATGAAACCCGGTCAAATAAAACCAAGACTCTCTGTATTAGAGATGAGTGAGAAAATAAGTTGTTCCTTCAAACTATAAAGAGAAAGCAGTAGATAAAGAGTAATTGAGGATAGTTGGTACTGAAGTGATCAAACCCAGAACAATTGGCCTAAAAAACTTTGCAAAATTTTCAACACATTAAGTTCTCAAATGCAGCCCAACCTGAAACTTGGTGTCAGACACTAGTTTACAAAGCCTATAGTGACCAAAATGCTGTTTTAAAAAAATATTTTAAAATAGTTGTACTGCTCCTCTAACAGCCTTTTTATTTTATTTTTTTATAGTTGTGTGGTTGACCGTGACTAATTTGGTGGTTTTCACATTGTGGAACTGAACTGAACTGAACTGGCCTCTGCTGCACGTTATCATGTATTGTGTCTGGGCTTCAGATTCTCTGCCTTCTGATTATATCAAGGCTCAGATCAAACACACAAAAGTGCTGAGGGCAAATCAAAGTGTGAGCTGGTTAATGTAAAGCAGTACGAACACAGAGACTAGCCCACTGAGCATTGATTTGGTGATTTGCACGTCAATATGACAGAAAGGTTTTTTTTAGAAGTCTGGGTCCCATATAACTGCTGTAACGACAGCAACTAACGAATCAAACGTCTATTTCAGTGCAAAGGACTTTAGTTTTCAATTTAACCTGATTTGACATGAAGACATCTTTTTTTATTTCCCAACATGACACAAACAATTGAGTATCCCCTCCCGTGCCAATAGCAGAGATAAGCAGGAAGAAGCATTGGCATTAAGAAACCATCAAATACAAAATCGGTGTTGGGGAAATGTAGCTGCAAGCAACAGTATGTAAGATCCCTGTATGTCACATGTCTCACGGATGGCATGGTCAGATCAAACACAAAACTGTGTAAAGCTGATGTGTAGCTTTAGAGTTCCAACAACATCAGGCAAAAGCTGACTTTGACAGCAGAAAGTCACCACCTACAATCTGAAGTTAGGCATCACATGTGTGTGTTGTCTTCTAAATCTTTCATTGAGTGATGTTTTCGTTTATGTAAATTATTTTGAGCTGTTCTTTGTCAAACTGAGCAAAGCACTTTGCGTCTTAAGATACTGACTCTGGTCATGTTAGCTCTCTGCATTTGGGCCACAACGACAATTTCGGAGTCATTCCTAAGTAATACTGAAGAAATACAAGCAAATATCACCATAAGAAAATATTATCCAACATAAACAAACTGCATCAGACTCTGTTATCTGCAGACAATGCAAAGACATTGCAAAAGACAGCACACACACACTTTGACATCTCAGTAATATGAACTTTGGTAAATGACAAAAAGAAATCTGATTGACCTCTGACGGACAAAAACAATATCAAAGAAATAAGAATGTCTGGATGAACGGACATATTTTCTGCTCATGTTCTTCAGTGTGTGTGTGTGTGTGTGTGTGTGTGTGTGTGTGTGTGTGTGTGTGTGTGTGTGTGTCATCTTCTGTGCAGGCCTACAGCTCGGGCGTATAAAACGTTGCTCAGCTAAAAATAAATAAAATGCTCGGGAGAGGAGCGAAAAGCATTGTGCGCTGTGAGTCACGACCAGGAGTGGTGGTGACGATACACTCCCCCCACCACACACACACACACACACACACACACACACACAATTACACCTTCTCCTCCCCATTCAAAGGGAGAGGGAGAGTACCATCCAGTTCTCAACACAGAGAGATCAAGACTTTTATGCTACTTAATGATTCATAAAATCATTTTTACATTAAACAGATAAAAAAAATGGATCAACTGTCTTCAACAAAAAAAAAAATGGTGTGATATCTGGACTTTGGTGGGTTTACTCCCCACAACATTATTGTGTACGTCCTGTTTATGGCCCAAAATTACTCCCACAGAGGATGAGTCACATTCAGTATCTGACTACTGCAAGACAATATACAGTATGTCTATAATTCAAACGTGTAATTATCATGCTATATCCTGATTTACTGTGTTGTCATTAAAGTGAAATCCCACTAGCTTTGCTTTTAATTTAACATGTCTCTTTTACTAATTAATATAACACAGTATTGATTGCTGATATCTGGTTAACAGACAGGTATTGGTTACCTGGGATCACAAAAATGACATGAAATGGGACAAAGCTCAAAACCACAGATCACCTTCTGTGGATCGAAGATGAAGATGCACGCAGACAACTTTGTTTCAGGTCTGAACAGATAAAACTGTTGAAGTTGAGGTCATGGTAACGATGTAGTCACAGCAGCAAGAGGAAAATTTTTGACTGAAGGTTAACAACTTCAGAGCGGTGTAAAAGTTAAATAGTAAATGGAATCTAGAGCCTTGTCACTCGTACTTTCCACAAAGGTGTGACAGAGTTTTTTTTTTTGGTTTTTTTTTACCATATTAGAGAAGATTTTGAGAGCACAGTCAAATGATGCTGTTCTTCTCCCTGGAGAATAAAAAAGAAAAAGGATAACTAGTCAGTAACCTTATGTGACTGACTAAAATCTTAATCCTTAATTATCCCGGGTTTGGTTAATGTCAGACTCATGAAAAAAATGTCATGCCCTGTGACTACAAACCTTTACTTCAGAGTGAACATTCTATACTGTGCTTTAAGTGGGAAATACCCACATGCATGAAGAACTCATTTATTTCTCAGTTATTCCTGTGGTCGAGGACAGATCACTCCGTATTTGTCAGCATGCACATGAAAACACCAGCGGGATCTGGGTTTTTTTAAAAACATTTTCCATCCTTTTAATGTCAGTTATGCTAATGTTTACATGTGTGTAAACATCTTTATTTCAGCTTTAGAAAGCCAGTTGAGATAATTCTCCATTCCCTCCAACATCTGTGTTTTTCTCTCCAAACTAAAACTTTTAACTCCAACCACTAACTAAAGGAAGATACCTCCACCAGTTACAGCCTGAAAAATGAAATAGAGATGAATGCTTTATTTCACACATTCACAGGTTCAAACACGAGACACACACATTATCTGAGTCAAGATCTGCCTGATTCAACATAGTCCTGACTATACAGCTAATAAATTGATTTTTACATCTTCTCAAAGGGGCCATTTTATTCAGTTTCCATGTAATTTTGATCATATGGAGATTTAGGATAAAAACGAATGCTCTGCTTATTCCTGCAAATAAATACTGCTTCGTTACAACCTGAACTAAAAGAGTTAAACTGAGTGAATTTCCAGACTTAGTGCCGGCATCAGCACCTCATCTAATTCAAAGGATGTAAACCAGCTGAGTGGTGAATTTTCAGTCCAACAGCTTTGTGAGGGAGCCAATCAGGAGTAAGTTCACATGTGATGCGTTCACAGCTGTTACAGCCCCAACACACGGAGCTAACCTCAAAAAAGTCGTGCCAGCAAATCATATACCTCAATTTACAGCATGTATTCTTTAAAATTTGTGCTTGAACTCACGACGACAAGCTGACGATTGGTGTGCACAAAAGTTTTGTACCTGTGAGACAAAATCTAGTTATTAGTCTCTGTTCTTAAGGCAAAAACAATGGTAAGACACACTGAACACTAACTAGCTCAATGTTTTCATTCCACGTGAACCTGTTTTAAACGGTTTTGTTGTATGCTTAAAATCTGTTTTGATATGTTTGATAAAAAGCTTCTACTCTAATGTTCTGCTTTGCATTGCACTGGTATAAGTAAGTATGTAAATGGGTGAAATCACTCATGTGCTCATCTAAGTAGCCAATCAGAGAAATACTAAAGTAT